GGGCTGGGGATTCAAACCCGCCACCTTAGGTGTACGTGGCTGGCGCCTTAGCCGGTTGAGCTATAGGTGCCGAGCCTATACTGTTTCTTTTTCTTGAGTTTGTGGTCTACTGAGACCCCCAGCTCATCTTCACATGGACTTGTCTTCAGCCTTATTTGCTCCATTATTGTTTTAGAGAAGTGCAGAGGTCAGAAACAAAAATATGTGGGTGAGAAATGGGGCACATAGCTTATTTAGCTGTGTAGGAAGGTCTCTTGAACAGATGATGCCCCAGACCTATGCCACACTAGGAGCCCGGGGGGAGAGAATGGGAAGGTCAGGCTCTGCCCTATAGCACTGCCAGGCCTGAGGCTTACCTGGGACAGCTGTCCAACCTCCAGGTAGAAGCAGATGATAAATGCATTCCAGCCAACCCAGAGCACCAGCCAGGCTGCATACTGGGGAAAGCAGAGGTGGGATCAGGGCAGGGCCTGGGAGAGTGGGGATGGGTGTGTCAGTGGAGACAGAGCTCACAGACTCAGGACACCTTTGCAGGAGAAATTATGATAATACCTCACTCAGAGAGTACACTATAATTTCAAATCATTTTCACATCCATCAGTCCTTACAACAGCCCTGTAAGGTAGGCATTATCTCCTCTTTAGAGATGATTGATTTAAGGCCAAAAGAAGGTTTAAGCTTTCCAAGATCACACGGCTAGGAAAAGGTAGGGCTGGCACTCAAATCCAAGTCCTCAGGTAGCTAATGCTGTCTACTTTGCTGAGAGCAACGTCCTCTAGGACAGCCATCCCTAGAATGCATAGGAAATATTGGAATCACTTGGGGAGTCTGTTTAAAATGCACACACCTATAATTCTAGCACTCTGGAAGGATGAGGTGGGTGGATTGCTTGAGCTCATGAGTTTGAGACCCGCTCTGAGTTAGTGAGACCCCACTCTTTTTTTTTGAGACAGAGTCTCACTTTGTTACCCTTGGTAGAGTGATGTGGTGTCATAGCTCACAGCAACCTCAAACTCTTGGACGTAAGCCCCCTCAGAGGGTCTTGCTCTGGCTCAGGCTGGTCTCGAACCTGAGAGCTCAGGCAATCCACCCGCCTTGGCCTCCCAGAGTGCTAGGATTATGGGCGTGAGCCACAGCGCCCAGCAGAGACCCTGTTTCTACTAAAAATAGAAAAACTAGCTGGGTATTGTGGTGGGCACCTGTAGTCCCAGATACTCAGGAGGCTGAAGCAAGAGAGTCACTTGAACCCAAGAGTTTGAGGTTGCTGTGAGCTATGAGGGCCATGGCACTCTACCCAGGGCAATAGAGTGAAACTTTGTCTTAAAAATTTTTTTAAAAGGCTGGGCATGGTGGCTCATGCCTGTAATCTCAGCACTCTGGGAGGCTGTGGTAGGCGGATCCCATGAACTCAGGAGTTTGAGACCAGCCTGAGGTTGAGCTAGACCCTATCTCTAAAAATAGCCAGGTGTATGGCCAGTGCCGGTAGTCCCAGCTACTCAGGAAGCTGAGGCAAGAGAATAACTTGAGCCCAAGAATTTGAGGTTGCTATGAGCTATGATGCCAGAGCACTCTATTGGGGGTGACAAACTAAGACTCTATCTCAAAGAAATTAAAAAATAATAAATAAAATAAAATGCAGATTCTTGAGTCTTATCTGTTGACTGACTTACTGATTGTGAATTTCTTGGGATGGTGTTCAGGAGTTGTTTAAACAACCCCTCAAGGATTGTAATACAAATAACACTTGCATGAACATGCTCTGGATGGCAAGCCACTAGGAGTGAGGACTTTGCCTACCTTATTCAGCACTGTAATACCGGTCTCCAGTGCTGAATGAATTATGAAATGACAGAATGTGCCTTATAAAGTATTGCATGTGGCTTGGTGCTTTTAGCTCAGCAGCTAGGGTGCCAGCCACATACACTGGAGCTGGTGGGTTCGAATCCAGCCCAGGCCTGCCAAACAATGATGACAACTACAACCAAAAAATAGCCAAGTGTTGTGGCAGGCACCTGTAGTCCCAGTGACTTGGGAGGTAGAGGCAAGAGAATCACCTGAGCCCAGGAGTTGGGGGTTGCTGTGAGCTGTGACACCACGCTGTGAGCTGTGACACCACGGCACTCTACCCAGGGTGACATAGTGAGACTCTTGTCTCAAAAAAAAGAAATAAAAATAAAGTGCTTCATGGTAGGCCAGCTGATAAACAGAAGTGAGATGTCAGAGGGCCTGAGGCACAGGACTGGGGTTTCTTTTTCTTTTTTTTTTGAAACAGAGTCTCACTTTGTTACCCTTGGTAGAGTGCCATGGCGTCAAGCTCACAGAAACCTCAGACTCTTGGGCTCAAGAGATCCTCTTGCCTCAGCCTCCTGAGTAGCTAATACTACAGGCACCCGCCACAACACCTGCAATTTTTTGTTTTTTAAGAGACAGGGTCTCGTTTTGGCTCAGGCTGGTCTTGAACTTGTGAACTCAAGCAATCCATCTTCCTTAGCCTTCCAGAGGGCTAGGGTTACAGGCATGAGCCATCATGCCTGGACTAGAACTGGGATTTCTAGCTTGTAAGTGGTGGTGGAGAAAATAAGGGACCTCTTTACTTTCTATGAAAAAGACTTACTTCTTTTCTTTTTTTTTTTGGAGACAGAGTCTCACTTTGTCATCCTCGGTAGAGTGCTGTGACATCACAGCTCACAGCAACCTCAACTCCTGGGTTTAAGGGATTCCCTTGCCGCAGCCTCCCAAGTAGCTGGGACTACAGGGACCCGCCACAATGCCTAGCTATTTTTAGAGATGAGGTCTCACTCTGGCTCAAGCTGGTCTTGAACCTGTGAGCTCAGGCAATCCACCTGCCTCAGCCTCCCAAGTGTTGGGATTATAGGTGTAAGCCACTGCGCCTGGCAATTCTTTCTTTTTTTTCTTTCTTTCTTTCTTTCTTTTTTTTTTTTGGAGACAGAATTTCCCTCTCTTGCCCTGGGTGGAGTGCGATGGCATCACAGCTCACAGCAACCTCAAACTCTTGGGGTCAAGCATGGTGCCAAAGGTGCCCAGGATGACCTCTTGCCTCAGCCTTTCAGGTAGCTGGGACTACAGGTATCCACCACAATGCCCAGCTAATTTTTCTCTTTTTTGTAGAGATGGGGTCTTGCTCAGGTCTTTTTTTTTTTTTTTTT